TGTCATAGGTTCGCTATCACTGGCCTAGGAAGACTGTTTTACTTGAATAAGCAGAGAATAGAGAGGTAACTGAAGGATGCTTCTGTTATAACCCTTAAAGATGTCTAGGAGAGATATTTGCTCTATAATGTTCTGTATAGTAATGACTGAATCAACATCTTTTAGTTAAAAGAATTCAGTGCTCTGTTGAGCCTCAGATAAGTAACTAGGTTCAAACCACAGTTTGCATAACCTACCTTCACATTTTGGCATCTTGGTCCATAAAGCTTTCTGTCCAGCAATTACACATTGACTAGAAGGTTGGCCTCGTAATCGATATCTGGAGACAGAGCGTGTTCATTCAGAACTATTAGACAGCTGGTGATATGGATCAATAACCTCTACTTAAATACAAACTCATTTAATTTGTGTGCGCTGACTCTTATTAGCATTATTTCTCATAACCTCACCCATGGCTCTCCACAGATCCTCACAGAGGAGCCTTCACAGGTCATACTACGCATGGAGAAGCCCAATGAATTAAATCTTCTAGTTCCTGCAGACACTCACCCTTCATTACAGGAAAAGGTAACAGTTACACCAACTCGACGATTTGCAGGCCCCTTTATCTGCCCATTGAGCAGTGGTCCTGGAGCGTCACACTGTGCCTCTATGGAAACAAGCCAAAGATGATCAAAGCATGGCAAATAACAGGATAGCCTACTTTCTGAAAACTGATTGGAAATTTGGGGTACCTTCACATCGTGGAATGACTGCACTCCAGTCTCCTGAAGACAAACAACGAATGGTTGTTTCTCCAACAAGCAAGTAGCCAGGCTCACAGGTGTAAGTCACAGACAGTCCAGGGACAAAGAGGCTGACATTCTCTGCTGTGTGATGTCCATTGGGGATCATGGAAAGTGGTGGACACTCCTGGGAGAAATCTTTACACACACACATTAGAACAAAAGGCCATCAGATGATATATCCTTCACAATCTAGATTTTGACATAGTACATTCATCCAACTAAATGGCACATTAT